ACACACCGAAAATTCATTGTCCGATGAATCACTAGATTCTGCAATGAATGATTTTCTATTACACAAAACACTAAGGACATAGATAACATAGTAGAACAAAAGCATCTCACCATAGTCTCTTTTAAGCCGCTTGCGTGGACCTTCACTCTCCTCATCAGTGGTAGTAGCATCAGTCTCCCTACGTTCACTCTCAGCGTCACGGGATGGTGATGGTCCAGGTTCTGCTGCATTGTCGTTCGTTCGTCTTCCATGATTCCTAATCATTCTCCAACGACGACGACGTAGTGCAAAAATAAGAAGTTAAGAAGACGTCACGAACATTTTTCATGAACACTTTCAGCTTTGACTAACAAGGACAGAACATAATCTATGCAATCATATCAACCAACAAAAGTCGATCCCAAGCAAAGCATGCATAATTCAAAGGAATTAAAACACAAAGTTTTATGGGGTTAATGACTCTTAAAATAAAGTTAGAATAAAGATGCCCTTCCAAAAACTGCCCTCCACATTACATGTGAACAGAAAAGAAAAGAAGGTATAATGTACGAGGAAATAACCTCTGAGAGAGCCACGAAAAGTATCTTCGTCTTCTGCATCCCCACCATCACCATCATCATCAGGTAGTGTGACATCATAATCATTTCCATCACTATCATTACTTTCATCTGACGTCTCCAGCCCCATAAGATGCGCACGCAAACCTTCCATTTCAACATTCACGACGTAATTCTCTGTAGAAAGCGAGCATAAATAGAGTGGAAAATAAAATATAACACCTTGTAAGTTCGATTAAAAATATATGGAAGAATAGTTACAAAAATTGTCAAACCTATTCCCACGACGAGATCTTCATTGACGCCACCGTCAACAACATTAATAGCGCGCATACGAGAAAACTAGAAAAAAATACTATGTCTGAAGGATTCAGTTAGTTCTATTAAATGTACTTTTTTAGTGAGGAAGAAATAAGAAATGGGTTGAAAAAAATAAGAAATAGGCTCCTTTCAGGTGAAAATTGAAACAGCCATATACGGAAAGAAGAAACATTTACGGAATGAAGGCATAGCATGGCTTACATTTACATCGATATGTAAGCACTCACGCTTTCCAGCTGATCAAAATAGTTTAGCATATTGAGATCTTCAGCTGTATCGTCTGGAACAATAGTAGCATCAACGACGCTAAACTCAGGAAATGTTTTCTTCTCACGGATTCTTGGTTTATCATAAGAAAATGGTATCGGAATTGAGCTCCACACCTGAAAATTCAGAACCCACCATGAAATTGCGAATAAAAATATTAAAATAATCGTCACATATTGGGTCATAAATGGAAGCAGTAATAAAAAGAAAAAAAAACGGCAAATACAAAAACATATTATATGAAAAATACCTTGATTATCTTTTCTACACCACAAGAAGCAATTACTCTATTACTACGGCTGTATCTCACATGGTTCACAATGGATCGATGACCCTTCAGCACAAAAGTCGCCTTCGAAACGACACTACGTTGTTCTGGAACACCCCCATTAAGACGGAATAATAAGTGTATATGAATAGTAGAAGAATAATTCATTAGGGTATGAAACGAATACGATACAAAACATCACAAGTATAATCCTGAAAGAAACACAAACACATGTGTAGAAAATACAATATTGTTCTTCGACCTCTTTGCTTGAATTCGTTTGCGAAATCACAACAAAAAAGCCTTCATTTATAGAACGATGCGGGAAATGAGAAGTGTGTAGCGCAATGATTAGAGGAATCTTGCAATACGTACAAGATCGACCGGTGGTTCGATTCCTCGCCGTAGCCTCACCAAGTGATTCATTACCCATTGGTGCTAAAGTTGTCTAGTAAGATACAAATATAAAACATCGATTGTTCACCGAAAGACATTGTACAGACCTTATATACGTCCAATCACCTATTCGATACTTGAGGAAATCGAAGGCAATGGGCATTCCTTAGAGACTGACTTTAAATCCCTAGACTCTAATTTCTTTTACATCGACAAACGACAACGGAACTTATGATCACCTCCAAATGGTAATGTCCCACTCAATCAAATCATATCATTACTATCTCGGGATTCTCAATGAAAACCCAATTATCCCACTCCTAGCAAATCAGCGTCATTACGGACGCACTTGCGGTATTTGCCGTCAGCCGACAATAGGCAAGGAGAAGAGCATAGCTCAGTGAAACGACAGGCCATTCTTTCGTTGAAAGAACAACTCATCACGAAAGGTCGCAAACACAGGTATTAGGCACACAAATCCCTAACCCATTGCGTATCATCGTAAAAGAACCTCTCCTGTCGAAAAACCAGCTGCTGACTTCATGCCAGCTCAAAAGAAAAAAGTCAGTATCGTTTATTTGCTACCCACCGACGTCCGCAGGTAATGAAAATGAATTACGGAAGCTATATGACCAGTTGGAGAAAGTGATATGTAACGCTAAGCTAGTCTAAAAATCTCTTGTTGAGTACTTGAACATAATCAACGAATGCAACAAGACAGTGAACGATAGCGCAAATTCCGGAATTTAGAACAGGAAATAGAAATAGCAATCAAAACCATTTTTATGCCTATTTTCACCACCCCTCTTCATCATTTTTGAAAAAGGAAAATCATGGTTGAGAGGATTATCTCATATCAACACTACTCATGCTGTGATCGACTACATACTCACATCGTTCTTATTCTGTGCTAGATTCAATCACTAGTCTCTCCGTGCCCAAGATTTGGTTTAGTTGGAAAAAAAAACAAAAAGAATTTTTGCCACCACCGAAGATGGAAAAAAACAAGTCGTATGTGAGAAGAACATTCTGGACAAAACCATTTCCATAAGTGATTACACCCGAGGAGTTTGCAACAAAGAACTAACTCGGATGTATTGCAATCGTTACCAAGGTGTTACTCAAGAAGAACAAAAGCTGAAACTAAACCGACTACAACACACCTAGTACAGTTTATATTGTTAGTTGGAGCACATCACCACAGAAGCACTAACAATATAATCAGAAACATTGTTATACGCAGTTGCAAAACAGTCGACACATTGAAATCCCGTCGGGACATTCGTATATTTCATATTCTGAGTGTTCATTAATGAAAATGGGATTACTGCCAAAGTCCTCAAGATGTGTATATAATTAAAGGAAGGGTTCTATTTAAATTTTCCCGTCCCAGATCAAATTGACAAAGCAACACGAAATACACCATTAAAAGGAAAGAAATCCACACCAATTCAGACTATGGAATGGTTAGCCTCCATAAAAATGGTGATGAAAAGGATGTTCGTAACCTTACGTCGATTTAACTATAAGTTCTTCACGAAAACCATCCTATAGCATACATCAAGCACTCTGGGCTAAACTATTCCAGCAAGCATTCCAACACTGATAGGGATAATAGGAGGTGCTTTGTGGTGGATAATGTCGTTTATCAAGTGAACAAAAAGCGCATATCCACTAATGGCAGTTTTCTATAACTTTCCTCTTTCCGACCGTAGACCGGCCTGACTCGTGAAGACGAGTCATCTAATTCGCAACGTATTCTAATGAAAAACACTATCTACGCGCGAGAAACTTGTAAAATTTATATTTGTAAAAACATATGGAATAATGTTGAAAGCTTCTTATTTCTCGCAAAAAATGTTCGATTTTTATCATGAATGGTGCAGAATCAATGTATGCTAAAATTTGATTATGGAGCAGCCAGCGCAGTGGTAGCGCGGACGGCTCCACCTACCTAGGTTCCGGTTCCGCCTACTCTGGGCGGAAAAAGCCCTTATCCCGGGAGAACTTGGTATCAAATTTGTCTGGGTCAAGCTCACACCATCTAACCCACGTGAGAACGCTCTAGCACAACTGTCTCAAGATTCAAGTGAGAATTGACTCGACCAGCATTCGTTAGTAGAAAAAATTCTCAACCAGCAGCCGAAACCACACGCAAAAAAAGTTAAAAACCTCCATTGATAGTGAATGTGATAAAATGAATCGAATGCAAAAGTTCTGCGATGCTTACATTTTGATCGATGTGATGTCATTCGCTGTTCGATGATCGTTTGATGTTATTCTTCACCGGAAACGGTCATCCAGACAACTAGATGCACAACCGCCTACACTGATGTTTGACGTTGTCAATTCAGTTATTCGAATAAGTAAGAATTAGGAATGCCCAAGCAAGACATTGGCAATGATTTAGGCTCGATAATCCGCCAACTAAAGACATGAGCGTTCAATATCTATATTGAACACAGAATGAGCTCACTTGGTAAAGCAGAGGTCTGAACGATCACCGCTTCCTCATTAGTTGGAAAGCGACCGCGACGATCGTGCTGTTATAAGTGAAGAACTTCAGCAACGCCACAGGGAAATGTGAATCAGACACATCATTGCTATCGATCGTCAGTGTGTAACTTATTCCAACTCCACACCCAACTCTATCAGTTGTACCCAATCCAGACGCCAAACAACATGATAGTGCATTCCAATAGAATGATCACGTTCTCGACATAGCGGTCACCGTCCAGCTTTTAATACTGTACGCTTTTACCACATAGCACCACTGTCACCACAGAAAATATTGTGAGCAATTGGACAGAGTTCTCGATTTGACCGGTCAAATTTTTAAAAAAGCAACAACAACAAATCAGCAGGTGAGCCGTTTTCCTAAAACTGATCTATAAGAATCTGATTAACAACAGTTAAGAGACATTGCCCTAACCACCACGCCATTGCGCGACCACAAGTTGCAAAAACAATTATCCAATGGTTGAACAGACCAAGATACAAAACTACCTATTCTACCATATTTGCCCCCTTCTCCTTTCGTCTACCAACAACCCCCTCCTCACGGAAATCGACAACTGCTTGAGCTTTTCCAGACCCTAAGCTGAGGCCTAAATTGCACTCAACGACTTCCCCATCTCAAGAACTCCAAAGTGTTAGTCAAAGTCGTGCTTTAATTTACGAATAACCTAATATCAAGTTCTGTTGTTTCTTGAAGCAAGCCAAAAATTGGTACATTTCCGAATTGGTACACGTTCGCTCACTTCGACAAATGCAAAAGTGTGAACAAAAGTAAGGATTACAGACTGATAAGTGGAAGAACGAGATCGAAGATAACTCGTGCCATCTGCCTCATTCATTGGGGCATGCAGCCCTCGATTACCACTATTAAGATCTCTGCAAAACATCTTAAATGGGAATAAGCTCGTTTCTATGGACAAGCCACCTGAAGTACCTGTTCATCTAGATATCCGGGAAGTGCTATCAAAACAAGTTATCAAATTACTGAAGCGCTGCCATAGGATCATGGAACAGCAAGCAAAATAAACCTGTGACTAATTCCATATTAACATAAAGAAAAATGTTATGCGCGTATTGTCTTCCACAAAAAAGGGAAAACAAAGTGAAAAGATATTTTGCACTAATCCTTCCCGCCTTTCCAAATTTCAGCGGTTTAATTTTGTCGAAAAAAAAAACCATTTGAAAAAAACTATCGAGAGCACTTGACCATTTCTTGAAGTCATCACCTAACGCGCTCTACAGTGATGAGTTGAAACACTATGGGTTCGATAAACCCGAGTAGTAGTCATCGATTTCAGATATCTTAACAACAGCAATTTGATTTCAAATGAGCAGCACCTTTTACAAAAGGGCTCTTTTGCCTTAAGACTTTGTTGCCAAAATAAAGCCGTTTCGTATAAGAACTTGAACTAACCGCCGTTACTATCAGTTCCAGGTATGCGCCAAGCGTATACATTGAAATCATCGCTACCCGTCACTATCGTGTTGTCATCCATGAATGTAATGGACTTAATCGTGTGTACATTACTGTACTGAGGATCCTTGAGTTCCACCTTACGGCGTTCAGCGAGCTAAACTACTGCGCATAAAATCATTTGACAAAAAAAAAGGAAAGAGCGAAACGTTAACTATTAGCGACGGATTTGAGGCAATCAATCTCCATAGTCTTCTAAGACTAAGTTTGAATTCAACAAGTTACAATGCCTATCATAATACGGAATTTAACTCACTAAAAGACAAAATATTAAAAAGCTATGTGAAGCTTTGCTCTTAACTGCAGTAAACGTATCGTGGTAAACACTGAAATCAAGCTTAGTTGATAACAAATAGAAGACTACGACCACTGTCAATTATAACGAGCTTTTGCTTTCCAACAAGATGCCATTGGAATCAGCTGTTTAGTTATAACACTTTTTATGTTTTGTTTTTACAAATGAACGATGAAATCTATAAGCTTGGATACTTTCAATGTTAAACAAAAGATAAAACGATAGATTGTTTCAATTACATCTATGTAAATAGGGTCCGAGTGAGACTGGAGAGCCGTGATCGCCGTCCCTATTGAATTCCATTCAACATATATCGCTTCGCTGACGAAATCTTTCAAATCAAGCAACGGCCTAAACAGATGAGAAGAGTTATAAGTGGGTAAAACGAAACTTGTCACTCTCCCTAGCTTGTTGCCGATATTTCCTATTTCCTCCGATAAACAGAAACAGCAAATAAACTCATACTTCCTCCGATGTCGTAGGTCGTAAAGACGAACGCCACGACTTGATGCCGTAGCAAATAAAAGCGCATTGGCCGGATTATACTGACCACGAAAAAGTTGACCTGAAAATACCCAAATACAAATCAAAACAAACATTACTGAGCTTTTAAGGCAAACTGGATTCTCCTTACCTTTATCGACAAGGCAGAAACAACCTTCTCTAGTTTCCCTGCGATCATAGAAAGACACTACACCACCTTCACGAGCAGCTGCCATGATATTATAGTCAATTGGCTAAATATGCTATTTTTGAGGAATTAATTTCAAACATCACCTCAAAGATGATGACATAGATGAGACCAACCATGTAACAAAACTTTAAAATAAGTAAAATAAAAAAGCACAAAGCTCTCGGCGTTGATCAATCCCTGGGGAATGCGTCGTGCATTCGACTTCACTAAGCGTCGTTGGAAGCGACTGAATATCTGGGCCGTACAATGACTAACGGTGGCCTACCGATGTATGGGGCCAGTGCTGCTATCTTCCGTGACAATTCTGTTAGCCATTGGCACGGGGATCGATTCGACGTGTGCGTTGCATGGCGTTTCGGCCACTTCGCTACTCACTCCAATAAATAAATAAGTGTCTACTTTTAAACAATAACAGTGTATTCTACATCCCTCTTAAGACTGAAATTAGGATAATTAAAGAAAAAAAGTGCTGTTAGGAAAACGTTGCCATCGTATGCTTAGCTTAATGACATAAGGAAAGTACTACTATTAACACCAAAATACCATTAAAAAATATTTAAATAATTTGTTTCGTGCTACATTCACAACCAAACCTGCCTTCTAAGTAGGGTTAGTAAGTCCAAGTAAGGTTGAGATTGAGCAGAACTTAAACAGATTGGCAATATTGTGTAAGTACAGCATTAAAACAAAAGTAGAAAAACATGCTGAAAGAGAATGTATTACCAACAAGTTGACCGACCAAAGATCTGTCCACTGATGAGTCGTTCGCGAAATTTGCGTAATCATAATTGCAACCAGTTTTTTTCTATTGAAGGACTAACCAATTTCTAGTCCTATTGCTTTAAACTTACATTAGCAGAAATACTGTAGACAGGATGACGTTCTTCATATACACAGAGGGGCTTTCGGGTGTCCACGTCGTGACAAATTACCATACCATCGTTACCACCAGAATACAACTCGGCACCACTAAAAAAAAGGTATGTTTTCCTATACAATGCATAGAGAAAACAACATATGAATGAATTAATGATACAACTCCAATGATATTGAGATATTTGCAAAACACTGGACCGCAGGTGTCTACCAAGGGGAACGAACACGCTATTACCCTTTTCGCGGGCTAACGCGTTCACCACCACACCATGCGGATCTTTCGTTTCGCTTTTCTCTCAGCTAGTTCTCTATCTACGCATGCCATCGCAGTCGCCCATCAACGGGATTGCAGTATGATTGTAGTACAGCAAAGAATTAGGCTAACTCGAGTGAGAATTGATAGCAAAAGATGTTTGAGTGGTGGCCTCGTTCCATAATAACAGCAGGCTTGGGTTTTCCGCACACCATAAGATCTGCGACACGCCATACAAACACTCGCATATCATCGCCACCTAGATTACAGTCATATCAATCATAACTTTAGACGAACTATTTGGTAAAAACAACACGCCTAGTAGTTGTCTCATAGACACTTGAACACATGACTCCTACTTTGACTTACAAGAAGCTATCATTTAATGACTTGTATAGCCCATCCTCACTAGTTGTGCAGGTCCCAACAAAATTCCAATTTTTCGGAGTATTGCTAGTTTAGCCATTTTGGTTCCCTGGAGAGCCGAGGTCAGCTTGGCCAAAGTCTGCCCTGGGTCGTCACCACCACAGGTAGTCGCTGCTTTGTGGATCAGAGGGAGATTTGCCACAATGCGACCAATTTGATACCAGGTCGGTGCTGGATCCCGGTATTGGTTTACTCCTAGCGGGACATTCTGATAGAAACACTGGATTCCTTCTCAGCCTGCGAAACTCTGCCGGGGGAAGAATCACCTTCTATACACCGCAACCCGACACTCAGGAACACCTCACCCACGATGAGGCGGTAACTCATTGGAAGGTGTCCTTAGGTAGGTGTACAGATATCCTTTAGTATATAGTAATGCTTCTCTAACGTAAAAACCAACATTAACCCATCAAGAACTCTTTGCAGTGGTCTACGTGCGGTTCGTTCTTATTAATTCAACAGTAGAATGGAAGCGTTCAACTACAGACCAATGTGCTACACAATGGTGGTCTATTTGCAAGCAAATTTCATAAGCAGAAAAAGGTTCTCACATTTCGGTAGGAACAAGTACTAATTACACTCATAGACGGACTTTAAAAACAAAGTCTACATCAAGTATCACCCAGTAACGCGTCAGCTTTTGGTGAAGATCCAGAAAGATTAAGAGCAAAAGTGGGAATTCATGTACAAGCCTATATAAATGTAAACCAAAGCCAAAGATCGCAATAAGAATAATATTAATGGATAGCCGTCGTCTTGGAAAAAATATAGTACAGAGGTGCTATTCGTTCCTCCGATCCGTATAAGCTAGTTACTCTTGGTAATAAGAACCTATAACCGCTTTGGACTACCTCCTTAGTGCCAAAAAACGCCAAACAAGCGAAATAGTTGTTCCACTGAAGATATTTCAAGGCCAACAGGATCATTTCCTAGACTGACTTGATAAAGGCAAACAACTAAACACACTCAAAGAAGGGATGGAATCGAATACCAAATCAACTCTCAATGGTCATAAATTACTCTACATATCTACCATGCTACGTTTCAAAATTCAGAAAAAAAACCCAACTGCAAAAAGGTGTGATCTTCAGAAGCGTAATAAGCAGTTGCGAATTACTAAGTAATGTGAGGCAAGCTCTACTTCTGAATTTCGGGTCCTACGGAATGCTGTTGACACCGCCTTATAGTGGTTGGGCGCGAAGTAGAGTGAGACACTCCTAACAATTGTCCAAACGTTGATTTGACGAACTTCCTTCGAGAGTTACGAATGAAAGTTTAGCCAGTTACCGCTCGAGTTACTCGACAGTTAACGAAATTACAGCTGATATAGATGACCTCGCAAGAGAGGTAGTAATAAACGACCAACACTGAACTCTTAAATGATTTTTTGAGTCCACCAAAGCGATCCCATTAAGGAACTTATAAAAATTTGACGTCCACTGACTTCATTAAATGCATATTTCAGACGAAACAATAAGACGCGCCAGTATGTTCACTGGCTCTATGAGTGGTTACTGAACTAATTATTTGGAACTAAACAATTATTTTATCTCGTTATCTGCAAACCCTGTTCCTTCTGTAGATGAAGTGTACTATGAGAAATATAACTCGTATGAGATGCTGAGATATTTGCAAAACTCCGGACTGCTGTCCTTACCGGGGAGCAGCGCGTGTTCGTTCTCCATTGCATACACCTGTGGTCCGGAGTTTTGCAAATATCTCAGCATCTCATACGAGTTATATTTCGCAACATACCCTGCCATTAAGAAGAAAAAAAGCAGTAAATAAAGAGTTAAGATTGTACTATGAGAGTTTTGATCTTATGTTAAGTTTTGTTTGCAGCACTAACATTCTTAATAGGAATTTTCAAACGCTACTAAATTTTAAAGAATAGCCGACTTTATTCACTCCAAGCATTGAAGTCTGAGGCACCACTGTACCATTGTATCCATTCTGTATGCAAATCCTTTCAACGGCCACCGGCTAATATCTACTTTAAAATAAGGCATATTGATGCAGTATATGTAGGCACTTGCTTCCTCTCAACACGTTGTCACCTCATCGCAGCTGGGAAGTATTCCTGGATGTCGGGCTGCGACGTAGGGCGGAAAGATTCATATTCCCAGCACGGCCTCCCAAGCTCAGAAGGAATCCAGTCTTCCCATCAGGATGCCCAGCTAACAGTAAACCGATATCGAGATCCACCAGCGTCCTGGTATCAAACTAGTCGAGTGGTGGCAATTACCATCTGATGCACAAGGGTGGCAACTGCCTGTGGTGGTGAAGACGGGCGAAGTTTGGCCTGGCTGACCTCGAGAAACCAGGGAATCACAATGGCTAAACCAGCAAAACTCCGAAAAATGGAAATTATGCTGCAGTCCGGAAAACCAGTGAAGACGAACCATCTAAGTATCCAAGTAATTATGAAACTGCTTACAACTGAGATAAGAATGAAATTGAACAAGATCCCGTATTAAGGGGTCCATACACCTACGATTACAACTGACTGTTTTCGGCTGATTCAGCTACGCTAGAAATTACGAGCAACAAGTTTACGTATAAAAAACCTATTACTATCTTTCAAGATAAGAAGAAATTTTCAGGTAGTATTAAAACTTACCACTAGCGAGTAAAATTTCACTCTTGTTGAATTCGACAGCGTTTACACAACCCGTGTGTCCCAAGATATCCTTCTGATGTACAGCACCAAATTTCTTGGCTCCGATACGGAAAACATCATTCTAAACTTGTACAAATTTATACGGACCTGCACATTATACACCCCTTCACATACTTCAGCACTCATGAAAATCTGTACAAACATAACTGAGGGTTCATTTCCCGGAATTCAACAGTACGACAGGACCTACAGCAGAATAGCAACCCTGAAGGCAAGAAGACAATAGGATAAAACAAATCTCACATGAAAATCCTTCAGATGACCTTGTATCATTCCAAGTCGAACATCTTCCACAAATCCACCAACATTCCAACTTCCACGAGACGACGCGATCTTTGTTTCAGAATCCACATCAACTTTACCACCATTCGCATCCACAGCAGACGCCATAACTGTTGCGTTGTCAGAGCAGATGAGAGCCCCTGATATGGGTAAGAATTATATAACTTTTTCTGGGAAATCGGGCTCCACATTCGAAATAATTGAATTTAAAGTCAATTTTATGCTAACAATATGGCAACATCTTCACAGTGAAAAGATCTTTGAGGAATGATGTACAGACAATCAAGTTACCAACCGAGCACAACGATTATTGCCTGCCACAAAGTTCGTAAGCGTGAGCTCTATGACAACTAGTGCAACTACAGCCACCACACGTCTTATTCCTTTTAGCTTGAAAGTTAACCACTTCATCTATTACTAGAGTTGAATGCGAATTTGAATGCAAAGGCGGAATAAATGTACCTACCGGTTCTTAATGAACTGTACCCTGTGAGTTGTTAATTCTCTTAAACAATAACTTATACTTTAATGGCACTACGAGGATAAGGATAAGGCTGTCGACGTTGATCAATCCGTGGAGGTGCGCCATGTATTCGGTTTTATTACGCATCGTTGGAAGTGATTGAATGCATATCTAGCCTTTACAATGACTTGCAGTGGCCTACCGATGTATCGAGTCAGTGCTGCTACTCTACCAAACAGGTCTGCTACCAAATCGCCGGCCCCGGAGGAATGGAAGGCTTTGTGAGCCTGGGGCGAGAAATTGATCCCATGTGTATTGCAGGGCATCTCCGACCACTCTGCTACACTAGCCCTCTGACTGAAAGGCACTATATCGTATTCCAAAAATAGCTCGTCACTTCACAGAAATAGAAGTGATAGAAATGAGGCACTCTTAATATTTTGTACATCTTACATCCCATTTATGACACAAGAATTCAGCCGAAACTGCTTGTGATCGCTGTGCTCTTTTGTATAGTCTTCTGTCCCTTTCTTCGCAAATGCTATTTCGAACGCTCTGGCTGTTCTAGGGCGGATAGCACAGTGACTATGATGCCGACCATCACGAGAAAGATGCTGGTTCGATCTCGCCACAGCCTCACCAACCTTCTAATCCATCCGGGGTCGGGAAATTGGTACCGGATTTCTCCGGGGAAAAGGTTACTCTCTGCAGTCCAATGGGGATGATCCAATCCGACTATCCCAGGAATCCAGGGAGAATCAACTCGACCATCAAATCTGCGACATTTAAAACAAAATGAAAATTTTCAAGCAGTATCCGAAACCAAACGTACTATGTTAACCTTGCGTTGGAAAACCTTCGTGTATGATAACTAAGGAAGGAAAAATTGAACGGAAAGGATAAAGCTCTCGACGTTGATCAATCCCTGAGAGATGCGCCACACACTCGACTTCGTTAAACATCGCTGGAGGTGATTGAATGCATACCTGTTCTTTACAATGACTCACGGCGATCTACCGATGTGTCGAGTCAATGTTGCTATCCTCCCAGGTAGGTCCGGTACCAATTAGCGGATTCCGGAGAGATGGAGGGCTTGGTGAGCTCGGGACGCTGGGATCGATCTCATGTGTATTGCAAGGCGCCTTCGACCACTGAGCTACCCGCGCTCGTGGATGATGGATACCATCAAACGAATCGATTGTGAGAAGTGCTGGGATCCGGACAGTAAATATGAAGACTGGTCCTATAAAATAAAGAAGATCACTGTTCTACAGTAGAGTTTTAAGATATCTAATAACTCAAAAGACCGATTTTCTATCAACCTCGGCATAGATAGTTGATATATTTATTTATATGATCCTACAAACTGATCTTCTTTAGCTGATGCTAGGTTGTTATGGGTCTTCGTTGTCGTTGTCGTTGTTTTTGATGTTATTGATCGATAACTGACGTTTCGGCGACTTCGCCTTTCTCAGACCTTGGACGTATTTAATATTAGAATATTTTTATTACTCGGTGGAAAAGAAAGGTTAAAGTGTTAATGAAGATCAAACTTTTAAATAGACACCATATTGAACGGAAAGGCTACTTACCGTGATGTTACAAGTGGCACTGGCCCGCGCGTTGTTCACGTAGGGTCGCGAGCCAGACACACCCCGGGGTCAAAATATTGTTTTGAAATAGGGCGCCAGGTCACGCGTGATAGTGAGGCATTCGTCTTTCCGGTTCATCTTTGGATTTTTGAAATTTATCCAAAACGCCTCAAGAGTTTGCGCGTTGATGTTTTTGATTCCCGCGCTAGAATCCACACATTCACTTCAAAATCACCGCCGTTGTGCTTTTGTGCCCTATGCGTACCTAGAGGAGTGTTTTGACGGATTTTAACTTTCCCATCTAGATGTTCTTTTATGCGGACACAAAGTGGCCTCCCCGTCTCCCCGATATATTCCTCGCCGCATGCATTACATGAGATCAAGTATATTATACCTAAGCTCATACAATCCCCGTCTTTCCCGTTAGGACAGATCATAGTTTTCTGAGCTGCACAAACGATCATAGAGACGGCTGCGAACTAACTGACGGCGTAGGGTATTGGGTGGGATGTCAACAATCGTTACATAATTTTCAAGACCAGTTTAGTTTTAGGGTAGTTCCCCAAAATAATGTTTCGGACGTAAGTAAGACCTCTTTTAACCTACCCTTCATATCAAATGAAGTATGTTACGCTATTAAGAGATGCTTAAGAAAAAGTGGTCTTGAAAGTTATGTAACGATTATTGACATCCCACCCAATACCCTACGCCGTCAGTTAGTTCGAAACCGTCTCTATGATCGTCTGTGCAGCTCAGAAAACTATGATCGGTCTTAACGGGAGAGACGGGGGTTGCATGAGTTAAAGTATAATGTAATTGATCTCATGTGATGCATGCGGTGAGGAATATATTGGGGAAACGGGTGGACCACTTAGTGTCCGTATAAAAGAACATCTAGATGGGAAAGTTAAAATCCGTCAAAACACTCCTCTAGGTACGCATAGGGCACAAAAGCACAACGGCGATGATTTTGAAGTGAATGTGCGGATCCTAGCGCGGGAATCAAAAACATCAACGCGCAAAACTCTTGAGGCGTTTTCGATAAATTTCAAAAATCCAAAGATGAACCGGAAAGACGAATGCCTCACTATCACGCGTGACCTGGCGCCCTATTTCAAAACAATATTTTGACCCCGGGGTGTGTCTGGCTCGCGACCCTACGTGAACAACGCGCGGGCCAGTGCCACTGGTAACATCACGGTGAGTAGCCTTTCCGTTCAATATGGTGTCTATTTAAAAGTTTGATCTTCATTAATACTGCAGCATTTTTTCCACTGAATAATTGAAGTATTCTAATATAAAATACATCCAGGCTCTGAGAAAGGCGAAATCGCTGAAACGTCAGCCATCGGCCAACAGCGACAACGACAACGACAACAAAGACCTGTACCAACCTCGCATCAGCTATAGAAGATCAGTTTATAAGATCATATAAATAAATTTTAAGATACTGTGTATTTTGTCTCTCCATTTCAACCATCAAGGTTTGACTACTACTGGTGACAACATATGGAAATATGGTACAAAATAATGTAAGGACTACAAGAGGAAAAGTCTCCTTTCGACAACAAACAGAATATAAAACCAGTTCGGAAACAATTTCATTTCATTTAACATTAACATAAGTCTTAAATAATTCACGAATGGGAAGGGTACCATATAAGCCAAAACACCAGTGACTGTCACGGGTACATAAGAATCCTATCTTATCCTTATATAGAAAATTTTACGAATCTAAATCTTAAATAAGCTATCGCTGCAATAAACCCTTTCGTCTACATAACCTAACGCAATTCCTAAACGTCTTGCAACCATCCACAAAAACACGGCATACTTTTTCATACTGAGAACAAACCCATATTGAAAAGGACACTGGGTTAAAAGACACTGTAGATCTTCCAATAAGAAAACAGATTCTCCCCTTCAAAACTGATCGTCAGTTGAAAAACAATCACGAAAATACAAGGATCATCTCCATTTTTATGGATAGGAGAGATAAAAGCGGAACAAAATCGAACATTTCTTTGCGTTGAGGAATATGTGGATTCAAAGAATGGAATCTTTGTCTTTATTGTGGTCGACTCATACCTTCTGTTCAAACATAGCCACAGAATGATGGAAGAAAATCTGGACTAACGCCTAGGCATGTATACATGCAGACACATTATAACCTAACTTAGAATTTGATTCGACCAGGAGTCTACGGTCAACAGGGCGATACAAAGGGGTAACAAACACCATGAGAGAGCTCGACAAGCCATTTCTTGGAAAACCTACCCTCGTCAGAAACTGTAAAAGTCGACATATGGGAATGGAAATGTGCAACTCTCCCAATGTTCCTCGACAAAGAGGAGCGCACAGGGCAGCATGGGCACAAGACTGAATAACGCAGACTTTAGTAGAGCTTTTACTGGTCACTCTGTGGTTCTGGCTTACAGACAATATTGAGTTCCAAGCGAGAAACCACTATCGCTAAACATGTACAGACCCGAACCAACAGATACTTCCAGTACATGTGTACTGTTCCATAGTCAACAATCTTATTAAAGTGGCGTGCATTACTTCTCCTTCGTGCCTTTGCAAACATTTTGAATCTTCTGAGAGTATTCCTTTTTGTCGTAACAGGAGAAGTGAATTCCGAAATGAGTCTGAGTTCACTGCCTCCACTAGAACTAGAAGATTTAAAAGCACAAATCTACAACTTCATACTAAAAAACGGACTAATAAGTACGGCATAATCCGAGCCGTACAACGAAACTGAAGGTGTAGAAACCTACACATCAGAGGAAACGGTGTGTAGTAAGCGGTTGTGGCACAAAAGTGACACCAATTTCGGATTGTTTCCGATTCTATAAGCATACTTAATAAACGTTTCAAAGTATTTTTCTTCCTTCGGCTCTTACCTTCAATAGGAAGATCACCCAGAAGTAATCTGTCAACGACAATGTACAACGACTGCATAAATGGCCTCAGGAAATTCGAATAGAACATCAGAAGGTCACACGACAATGAATCACGTACCTAAATCACCAACTATAGTTTTGGCTTAGGCTTCGAAGTAGTACAATAGTATGAAATGAAGACAAGTCAAAAATAGTGAGAAGTGGTAGACCTGAACACTAATGCGGTCACCACCAGCGAAATCATCTTCGTTCTCTTGTAGATTCAGCAAACCATGCTGCATACGACTAAGACCTTCTTTACCAACGACAGCCATAATAACTTCACGAATGTTCTCACACGGCTAAAACATGAACGCTTAAATATGTAGAAAGAGGAACGTAGTTATCATAATCGAGTAAGTTCAGGTTAAAGATGACGGCGCTTGCCAACTTTGTTGAAATAGACCGCCCACGGTTCCCGCACATACTTTTAAAGAAAATGCATATATAGTAATCATATCAGTCACAATATACATACACACGTGCACTTATAGGGCGCGTGTAACGCAGGGGTCCCAAGCGCCCTGCAATACACACGGGATCGATCCTCACGCTTCAGGCTCACCAAAACTTCCTCTCTCTCCGTGGTCGGCAAATTGGTACCAGACCTGTTTGGGAGGATAGCAGCACTGGTTCGATACAACGGTAGGCCACCGCGAGTTATTGTAAAAATTCAACCACCTCGAACGACGCTTAATGAAGTCGAATGCATGGCTCATCCTTCAAAGATTGATCGACGCGGAGAGCTTTATCCTTCTTATTTTATGTGCGCTCAGGAGTTTCCTTGTAGGCAAACTGTACCCTTACGTTGATTCGCCCTAATGCCTAAAACTAAGTAACGGGAAAGTGCATGGGAGTTGATTTGGTGCTCCAGTGGCTCACATCTATTACGAAAATACAAAATAAGCTCTTTATAAGCGCACTCACCTATCCATGGCAGATCTCAGTGCACTAATTATAGCAATCTTTAAAAATCTAGAAACAAAGGGCCGTGTCACAGAAAACTACAACACTTCGCATTTCAAGAGCAAATGGAGCTAATAAGGCAGCTTCGGCAAGTGAAAGGAAATAAATGAACTGGTGATTTCCTAAGCACAGGCGATATTTGATATAGGAGACACAGGTGAAATTCAAGAAATGCGAATAGCTCTGAAGACTATGCAGTGAATTCAGACAAATCAATATGCCTTTCCTTTACACGCGAACAACCGATTCTAAAACGCCGGATGATCGTCAATCCAATGGAAAAATCTGAACTATGCAATATGTCCAAACAATACATTTGGGCAACGGCAGAAAAATTTTTATTTTAAACGACCAGTCTACATCTACTGTACGGATCCCAGCTCTTCTCGCATTTGATTCGTTTTCCTTGCATTTATCGTCCACAATAGTTCTGGACCATTTCCCGTGTTGTTTCAGCTGATGATACTTGAGGATTTCGTCTTCTTTATGAATGCCACAGAATGTTCGTCGAGTCAATACTCCTTGAAATCTTGAGATAGCCGGAGTAAGGCGTTTCCACGTGGATTGGAGGTAGGTGTAGAGGCGGCGATCTAACTAGCGCCTTTGCTTCCTGATAGACGGCATCACTAACCATTGCCCGATCACTGCCCCGAATGGAGAAATAATCAAAAAAAAAAATATGAAAACTTCAATGTTTTCTAGTTTTCCAGATTTAGAACAACATACTTTACAGAATATGACTTCAAACTGCATCCAGTCACATATGAGTGCAACGTCTTCAATCACATCACTGTACATGTTATGCTCTAAAGGCCGGGAAATCATCGCCAACCCTGAAATCTGAAGCTTCCATAAGACCTCACTAAATTTACGAACTTAACTATTTTGACCACTGTAAAGACCTAGTACCTATAAGAAAGGACCATGATATAAAAACGAAGTTTAAAATATTACGAACCAACAGCCGATTGTAGGGCAAACAGGGGAACCAGTGCATTTTTATAGTATGCCAGGCTTAGGAGTTGACGATGTGCTCTGTTAAGAACCAATACATCTTCTTTCGCGTCCATATCAAAATGACGCTCCACCGAGTTAGCGAGGTATGGTAAAGCATACTGAAACTATGACAGTTATCCAACTTTTCCCACACACACAAAAAAAGAAGAATAAAGACCTCGACTGCATTTCGACCACATGTTTGTCCTATGCGCCATCCCATAACATCGGACCCAGCAAGAATTATCTGATCACAAAGCCACTGACAGTCAGCAGACAACAAATTAAATGACACTTCCTAAAAGATAAAAGTAAGCGAAAATGAAGACTTGTTCATGTCTCGTTTTCCTGCTCAGCAATAGCGAGATTGTTAAACGGCATACATTTACTTCCATAGAGAAACACAATACAATACAACACTAGCTGACGTTTCGGCAGTAACGCCTTCTTCAGAGTCTGGAAGGGTATACTGATGTACAATGTACTAGGCCAAACGCTTCAATAACACTTACAAAAAGACGAAAGACTCTTTGGTAATTACATGATCAACAACTTCTCCAAAAAATCCACCGCTTTTTCGTGACTTCCAATGAGGAAGTTTAGAACAGCTGATTATAGTCGCATGTGGTTGATGACTGCACCACCCCACATCAGAAATTGATGCCCGGAGGTCATACGCGACCTGACCCCGTATGTTCGCATCAATTTCTGATGTGGGATGGTGCAGTCACCAACCATATGCGACTATAATCGGCTGTTCTAAACTTTCTCATTGGAAGAGACGTAAAACGCGGTGAGTTTTTTGAGAAGTTGTTGATCACGTAATTACTATAGTTTCTTGTCTTTTTGTAAGTGTTATTGAAGCGTTTGGCCTAGTAGATTGTATATCAGTATACCCTTCCAGGTTCTGAAGAAGGCGATACTGCCGAAACGTCAGCCAGTGTTGTATTGTATTGTGTTTCTCTATGGAAGTAAACGTATGCCGTTTAACAATCTCGCGATTGCTGAACAAGAAAACGACCCATTCATATTCCAGTGCCGAGGTTAATAGAAAGTCGATGCTGGGAACTTTTTCATGTGTTAACTATCCATAAAATAAATCCATAACTAAGCGCACAGTCAAAACTTCACCTGGACAATGATGAAACTTTATACTAACGAAAAGACTTAAGTTAACAGCGGGGAGAAGCAATTCAACTGGTAATCGTTCCAAAAAAGTTGCGAAAAGTTCTCCTTAGCTGCCAATAGTTAAAAGATAAAAGAAAAAGTTCAGTGCAGTTTACGATCGTTAGGATAATGAACATATATAAATCCTGTAAAATAAGTTCGAAACTCCAACACATACGTCTACTTATTTTAGATCGATTTCTTCAGAACCATCAAACCTATTTCGAAGTACAATGTTTAAAAATGACTACATAAACACTATACGGAGAGACTGAAAGATAGATCCCAACCCTAAAATTGTTGTAATGCATATATAAAGGATAACGGAAAAATCTATCGGCGTTGGTTAATCCCCTAGGGATGCACCATGCATTCGACTTCGTTGAGCATCGCTGGAGGTGATCGAATGCATAGTTAGTCTTTACAATGACTAGCGGTGGCCTGCCGATGTATCGAGCCAGTGCTGCTATCTTCCGAGACAAGTTTGGTGCCAATTTGCCGACCCCTGTGGGATGGAAGGCTTGGTGAACCGAGGGCGCGGTGATCAATTCCACGTGTGTGTTGCAGGTTTCCTCCGACCACTGCGCCACACGCGCCTTTTCAATGCATCTGTATGCTGCAACATTCTTCTCAAATCTTTTGTGTATGATCCTTAACATGTGGGAATTAAATCTACATCTTTTTTCAGGTCGATTGCTTTCTTTGAAATTTGGAAGCCCGACAAACATAGCTGGATGTCTCAGCTTGCAAGAGCGTACTCCGCTAGTGGCACGTTAAGTTGGCAAATTCATTGTTCGAAGATGATGTACGATCAATAAAGGAAGGAAGACATGTTTAAGCTGTCGCCAAGGCGATCCAAATTGTAGCTCTATAGTGTGGAATGACTTCGAACAGGATTGTAGGCCCCTTCACCCTATACCATACCATGAATCCAAATGGACTTCACCATGCTGCAAAATGAAATCTGACCAGTTACCAGCACTTGGGAGAACATTGAAGATTAGATTTTCACGCAACATGGCGCTCCTCCACATTCTGCAATTGTTGGTTTTTGAATGGCTGAATGTACACTTACATGCGAGATAAATTGGCAGTCGTGGTCCGAATGAGTGGCCAGCTAGAAGCTCTGGTTTAACACCTGCCATTTTTTTCGTTAGGATTGGTTAGAAAGGAAGTCTACTATACAAAATCACGACTTCAGTAGAACTTGAAGGGCGAAAATGAGAACTTATGTTCACGCTCTCACAAAAATTCCTGGTGGAATCATGTAGTTCCTGGGCGGCTCGAGCAGGTAGTGGCTAGTATATGCCGATGCCCAAATCGAATTTTAAATAAAAACTAATGTTATACGCTTTCTTCTCACACTTGTTTCTTATAAACATCAGGGCCAAAAAATAAACCGCATTAATAATTTGTTCATAAAATAGAAAATTACTTTTAAATTATACTATATCAACCCATAGGAGAACAAACACACCTTCCGAAATTTACATAATAACAAGGCACTAAGCACCGATACAAGCGATATGGAAGCCATAGACTGCGCCTCTAGAAGAAGTATTCTTAAAGAGATACCATAATACTAGAGCAAAACATTCTACAGAAGAGGATACCATAGAGAACGTGGTATCCTATCGCTCGAATCAAATTTCGATCAGAAGCCTTCTCCGTATGCCCAGTGTGCCAAGGTATAAGTTCTCTAAATCCAGCCTCATTATCATCAATGACTACATTTCCTAGTAGTTGATTAACCTATACGAGAAAGAGTGGGTCATACGCCCCAACTGAGGCGTGACGTTATTAGACATGACGACCCCTTGAAGTGCGATTAAGTAGTCCTGAAATGTTAAGAAATTCTATGTATAGATTCGTTTGCGACCAAAGCTATCCGGAACTAAGGGTGCACAAAAATATGGCCGACAGACCGAGAGCAAAACAGGGTTTCCGAAGTGCAATCGCACCGCCCCACATCGTCTTGACTTTCCAAAACTCTTGAAAACGGCATAGAGCACACCGAAGACGCTTTCACGCTTCTGTAAAAACATATATTTTCATTTCCTATCACTTTCTTCACAGTTCTCAATTAAAATCTCCATTAAAATTCCATCCATTTATGCGTGACCCACCTTTGGTATTCCTACCAATTCATCCAAAAATACACCTTCTGCGATGTTGTCGTAAGTATACGACACTGGCACCAGATAACAGTTCGAGATGGCTTCTACGTAAGAAATGAGATAAGAAGCAGCAATAATCTTAGACAAATTCTCACCTTAAGTACCATCATGTGATTTTAATTGTTATATTTACCAGCACTACTGTATTGCATGAGTGTTTTAGGCTTGAACAGCACAAACCACAAAAAGGATGAAACTATTTGTAAATGCAAAACTCACTTTGCTGCACTGCTTGAATCACATTTGATATAAGCCCATGTTTTGGCAGCTGAGATTTACCAAAGCGACACCTAAATTGATTTGATTTGATATGAGTGACACACATATGACGGCAAAGTTGGGCGTTTTAACAAAAACGCGACAAGGCCTAATTCCTGGGAGTGTTTTAGCTTACTTCGAGTCGATTTCGTATTTTTATACCCACATACCTTCCATGAATTTCCCTTAGACCGAGGAATAACAAAACATGATGCATAGCTATTTTGAATCCCTGAGTTATAACCCGTAAAGGCGAAAAGCATAAAGCTCTGGGCTCTAGCCAATTCCTGAGGTATGGGCCATGCATTTGGCTACACTAAGTATCGTTTAGGGAAGACTGAATGCATATCTGGCCTCTACAATGACTCGCGGTGGCCTCCCAATGTATCAAGCCGGTGCTGCCATTTTCTCAGACAGGTTTCGTACCAATTTGCCAACCGTAGTATGCCGGGATGGAAGGCCTTGTGAGTCTGGAGCACGCGGTTCCATCCCATGTGTATTGCGGGCGCCTCAAACCACTGTACCACACGCGCCCTCTATTAAGTTCATAATGTGGGGAATATCACTGCTAACCAAAACATAGTAACGATACGGCATTCGATTGAGACAGTTTCATGTTCCGCACCTAAAACAGAAAAAAAACTCGTCAGGCGTTGTTCTCAATTCTCTCCTTGCGGCCACATATCATATCAAATTTCTTCGCTCTGCAAGAAAATATGAGCAGCAAGAGTGACATACACAAACAAAACAAGTGAAACCCTTGTCATGAGCGAAGCGAAGATGCGCTCTGGAGTTCTAGCAATGTTATTTCAATGGGAACCCATTTGTCCTTCATCGAATTGAATGGCACCGTGTGACTTCATGTAGTCATTTAATGTCCTGAACCTTAGCTTGAAAAAAATTGGCAACATCACCATCTCCCAATCGTCAAAATGTTAGCGATGAACCCGAATAATGCGCTTTCTATGATTAAATGGATAGAGCGAATCTCAAATAAAGGTCTCACAAACCTATTGACTGAGACTTCAAGGTAGGAAAGTTCCCTGAAATGTAACAAAGAGCCTAGAAGCTTGGAATAGGAAACCAAACTCGAACGAACAACTACATTTACTTACTGAGCTGCGTTTTAGTGTAACAGGAACGTGACGAAGCATCACGACACAATCTTAACCCTTTTATTTACTGCCTTTTTCTTTTTAATGGCAGGGTATGTTGCGAAATATAACTCGTATATAATGCTGAGATATTTGCAAAACTCCGGACCGCAGGTGTATGCGGTAGGGAACGAACGCGCTATTGTCCTTTCCGGGGAGTAGCGCACTTCACCACCACACCATCTGGATCCCTCGTTTTACCTGTCTCTCAGTTAGTTCTATTGATCTTTTGCCATCAGCAATCACCCGTCAACCGGATTGATCTGGGGAGCCCAAATCGGCATTGAACCCAGTGCGCTACTCCTCGGAAAGGACAACAGCGCGTTCGTTCCCCACCGCATACACCCGCGGTCCGGAGTTTTGCAAATATCTCAGCATTATATACAAAACGACACACTTATGACAGCTTGAATTTGTCCATATTTCTCGAATTTGGATTAGAAGAGTAAAAGGCCAGAACAATCCGGTAATATAGATGAAGGAATGGAATGAATATATAACTAAATACATCGACTATTTACGCCAAGGTTTCTAGAAAGTCGTTTTTTCGAATATGACAACAGTTCATCTACCAGTTTAACACATCAATTGTTTTCCAAATCGAAATTCCTAGGAAAAGACGGATTACTGGACTTCGACCCACAAATATTAAGCTAAACCAGAGATCTGTAATATATGTTCGAACTGTGAGTGAAACCTATCAGAACAGAACCGCTCCCCTAGGTGGAGGCTGGCTAAAACTAATAGTTAATAACAAAGACAGGTTTAAAGAAAAGCATAAAAACCAAATAGCAATAAAACTGGACTTAATCGAGTAAGAAAGAACGATGCAGAGAGCATAGTATGATGAACACTATTTTTAAACTGCTTCTGAACAAGAGCGCCTGTGGCGCAGTGGACGGAGGCGCCCTACAGTACACAAAAGATCGATCCCACGCCCACGGCTCACCAAGCCTTCCGTCTCTCTGGGGTCGACAAATTGGTATCAAACTTGTCTGGGAGGTTAGCAGCACTGGCTCGATACATCGGTACGCAATCACGATTCATTGTAAAGGTCAGATATGCATTCAATCACCTCCAATGGTGCTTAATGAAGTCGAATGCATGGCGTATCCTTCAGGGATTGATCAACGCCGAAAGTTCAATAATTTATCCTTTACCCTGATGACGGTGCTGATAATAACCACGCTAAAATACAGCAGTCGCTTTACGACAAATTCAATGCTTTTTTTTGGATCTAATTATAGTTTTGTGCGTATAGAATATGATTGAAGGTCGACCAGAAAAGGGTTATTACAAACCCATGGTCCAAGAATTCCACTCAATATGCAGAATATAGAACAACAGAAAACTATTGGAAACAATATTAACAGTGGAAAAAAGGCATCGTGAAGAGCTACTGTATGGCCGTACCTTGTGCCCTCCAGGAAAAACTCTATACTAAGACCCTTATTCAAAAGCTGCTCGATATATGAATGAAGAACGGCTCTGTAAAAAAAATGATTACGCATGGAAATTATTGTAAAAAATGAAGTAATACTTGGATACTTACTTTAATATGATGCAAATAAATAAATAATAGGAAATAATAGTAAAAGAATAAATAATTAATAATAAAATTGAGTAAAATTCTATAATCTAAAGTAATAATTGGAATACAACAACAATAACAATAATGCAACCATAATATAATTAATACGAAATAAATACAAAGTAAAATAAAACATAATAATAAAAATATGGCCAATATAAAGCAAATAAATAAAAAATGATTGAAAAAATAAATGATAATGAAATAAATCTAATTGACACTTGACACTTGAATGGCACGTCCACACTGGTTGTGCGGGCTCCAGTATAATCTCCAATTTTCGGAGATTTGCTGCTTAAGCCATTGTGGTTCCCTGGAATCCCGAGGCCAGTCTGGCCAAAGTTTGCCCCAGGTCTTCACCACCATAGGAAGTCGCAGCCCTTGCGGATCAGAACGAGATTTGCTACCATGCAACTTCGATATCAGGACGGTGGTGGATCCTGGTATTCGTTTACTCTTAGCCAGGCTTCCTGATGGAAACGCCGGACTCCTTCCCAGCGTGAGAGACTCTGCCAAGGGATGAATCCCTGCTGTACATCGCAGTCCGACACCCAGAAACACCTCCCAGCCACAATGAGGCGGTAAACCATTAGGATGAAATAAATCGAATTAAATTAAATAAAACAGATAAACGATAACAAAAATTATCGGAAGTTACTGAACAAAAAAAATATTACGCAGCCGATTTACTTTGTTCACACCTGTACAATGAGTCTCTGCCACGGCTAACCTGCACGTTAGTTGCTCGCCTAATGAAAAATGCACCAGTGGAACGTAACAGCCATCTGAAGCAGGAGAACAACTGATAAGAAAAAGCTAAAAGAGCTAGCTGACCAACGTCAAGAGATTTGTACCTATTTACTGTAAAAAACCAATAAGTTAAAAGCACTTAAGCTACACTAACCCAAGACCACTGAGGTTCAGATTATCACCAGATGCTATGTGTGGTAAGCGCAGACCGAAATGCCAGGCGGTCCACGTGATAAGGAGATAATCAAGATGCGATCGATGAAGAGGAAGGTACACAAGTGGAGTACCAGTCTAAAACTACTAATAAAAAATCACAACATCAAAAGTCTACGCTTTGGAAACAACCAAAATAAAAAATCCAAGTGAAATCACCTTTTCTGCTTCAGTAAGTCTTTTGAGTTGTTGGGGACTCACAAGCAGATGTGACATAAGATGACGAAAGACCTTAACAAAAGAAAAAACATAACTTAGACCATGAGGTGGAATTTAGCTTCAACTATACCTTAAAAAGAAGATAGCCACAGATTTTGCAAATGAACCGTGAAACTGCAGCTCGTATATCCATAAAGAACCCTCTTAATTTTCTCCTCAACTGTGGCCTGGACAAATTAGGATTTTGAGCTTCTTCTGCTTCTATAGCGCAAGCCACTCTATAATTCAACATGGGATAAAGTTGCACCCAGAGCAGTCAGTGAAATAATAAGAGATTGTATTCACTGAAAAACATTATAACACCTCAGTGATTGATGATGCCATCGTTATGTAGAATAAAGGCTGAGAGAAAGGCAAAGCAAAGGTCTCCCCGGTGCAGCGGATGACACGTGAGCCCCCGGAAAGAGTAACCATGGCTCGATCTGCCCTTGGGACCAAGTTTTGGAAATATCCCAATACCACAGTGGTTGTATTTCACATCAAACCCTTCCGTCGAAAATAGTAATAGGAAGGAAATAAAAAGTTAACATTAGAACCATAAATGTGTCGCTTTCTTTTCCAGGCCTTCCAGGCTTTCATGAACGCGTTTGTAAAATTCCGTAAGGCAGGTGTCTGCGGTGGAGATCGAACACGCCATTGTCATTGCCGGGGCCTAACGCGTTCACCACCGCACCATAGCGGTCCTTCGTTTCGCTCGTCTCTCAGCTAATTTTCTGCCTACCACTACCATCAGCAAACACCCGATGCGGAATCTGGAGAGTCCACATCGGCATTGAACCCAGTTAAGCTGATCCTGCTGACGAAGTTATAAAGCCAATTTTTATTTGTTGCCTAGTACAATTATTGGTACTATTAAAATCATAGTCTTCTCTATGGCAGAGTAGTGTGGAAACGAGGGAAACACTAGTCATCAAGGATACCTTTTCGATTCCATCACCTCCTTCTGAACTTTGGGATACGAGTGCGGTAGTGGAGTAGCTATGGTATAACGTAGATCCGCAAACCATGGTGATGGAGAACGTGCACCAGGTAGGATTGGATAAGGCATTCCACCGAACTAAAAATAGAATTTGAAGGTAAAGAAGAAAGTATTGTAGGTTGTAAAAATAAATAGACGGACCCTTGAAAATTCGAGTAGATCCACGTAGTTCTGATGAAGTTCAGTTAATGGCTGAGGAAAACACTGTACGCATGACCGTTGCAACCGATGAATACTACTGCAGGAAAAATCCAGTGCTGGAGACGCTAAGGGATAAACAGGAATATGCTTGTACGGTGCAGAGTAGGACTGCTGAAAAACGGACTCTTGTTGCAGAACACATAGGTACTTGCGCGGTAATGAAGACAATATGCGAATCTTAGTCGACAAAAACCCTACCAATACAACCAGAAAGTCGCTAAGATCCAGGAAATTACCTTTACGCTAGCCATGTAGCCCAACCGAGACGTTAAATGATTCCTTTCAGTTGTCATTATCGCTATTGATGTACAGCTTCAGTCTTACTGCACACCTGAAGAAAACGTTTCCGTTTTGTAGTAGCAGAGTTATTTAGAGCCAGCAAGAACAAACGGAAATTTAGAAACCGTAAAGAAATCGCGCTACAAGTATTTTCAATGGAGCGACAAAATGCACCTGGCGCAGCTTTCGCCGAATCTCAAAGTTGATGTTGTAAATCCAGAATAGATGTTCCCAGGATTCACGGAATAAATAAGTGTTCGTCGAGATATTAAGCACACAACGTGATTAAGACGCTTAGAACAGTAAACAGAACAACAATGTTAACATTTTTTGGATTTCAAGGGCATGATTTTCCTTATTGCGCTATATCCGTCACAATGGAATGTTCTGTTCACTAAAATGCAGCAGGATACCATGGTTGAATAGGAAGGGAAATCGACTAATATCGTTACTTATAGCCCAATTGACTGATGTCTTTCGTCTAGGGGCTCTTCACTCCAGTCATGCAGCCGTAGGGAAAAATCATCAACAGGGTCGATGAAATCCCAGACAGAAGGCTGGCCATGCAAGCAATTAAAATCTCCAAAAAGAGCTTCATTCGGACCGTATAGTTACGAAAAGCGTCTGAAGAATCGTGACGACGAGATGTAGCTACGACTTATCTCCACAGACTTGAAGGCCTTTGTTTCTATTCAGACAGTGGCGGACGTGAACGTCTTGAATGATTGGGGTATACGGTATGCAAAGACGATGGGCAGTAGAGCAATTTCGCAACTAGAAAATTCACCGTTCTTCACCAATATCAGCATAAGACAAGCAGGTAACATAGGGCCCAAGTTATTAATGCTACGTCACGTACGGATGACTCATGTAGCGCAGTGGGCACATGTGACCTGCAGTAGACACAGTAGGTCCATCGCTGGTTCGATCCCTCGCCGCGGTCTCATCAAGTCTTCTATACCTCTGCGGTCGGTAACTTGTCCGGTAGGATAAAAACGCTGACTTGATACATCGGTAAACCAAATTAAGTAATTGTACAGGCCAGTGGGGAACGAACGCCCTATTACCCGTTCCGGAGGCTAACGCGTTCACCATTACACGAAGCGGGTTCTTCGCTTCACATTTCTCTCAGCCAGTTTTATCGATCAGCGCCATCAGCAATCACCCGTCAACGAGATTGATCTAAGGAGCCCAAAACTTAACATTGTGATTTATACTACAGCCTCAGCTTAACTGGGTTCGTTGCCGATCTTGGCATTTCGTTCGTTCCCCACCGCAGACACCTGCGGCACGGAGTTTTGCAAATATCTTGGCATCAATGTGGTTGTTTCAATACGTTTGACATCGACTGCAATGAAATTGGTGTTGCAGGATTTTCAGGGCGGAAAACACGGCTATCGAATCCTCGACAAACTTGCAGGAAATCGTCAAGCAGCAAATTTTTGCTGATAAAACATCGGTGCTATAGCAGCTGCGTAAATTCGTCCTAAACAGAATAGCCTACAAAAACTGAGTGTTGAAAACAGCAGGAACATCATTGACAACGCCATCACCATTACCAGTAGTGGTAGTTTTTGTCCTATTTCCGCTCGTTCGTTGGTTTTACAGAACGCAGCACTAATGAACCACTACGAACACTTAGGAGTAGCAAAGTACTTGGCTGTTAGACGCGAAAAATCTTAAAAACCTAGAAAAAAAGTTCTTGCAATATGCGACCCATTTGAAAACTAGAAAAGCAGACCGAATTTTTCATTACTTATTTCATATGACCCCTTTTTGTTTTATGATATCTACTGTGCAGGTCGCAGCACTTCTCGCATTCTATTAGTTTCTTTTTGTCAGCCATCATGAAATTCTTTCAACTTTTGTGCGTGAGATCCGGTGCTGCTTGAAGTTTGGTCCTGGAGGTCTTTGAATGCTGGTGGAGTCAATTCTCCCTGCAGTCTTGAAATGGCCGGACTAGAACGTTCCTATTGCAGAAAGAGCCTTTCCCAGAGAAGTTCGGCACCAATTTCCCGATCCCGGAGGGATGAGGGCTTGGTGACCTTTGGTGCGGAGTCGAACCAGGGCTCTGTTCGTTTTGTTCCATGTCACCCCCACTGCGCTACCCGCCCACTATCGTATTCCAGCGGTATGAAATACTTGGGAACAAAGATGACATCCGTTTACGATTGTCGCTAGGAAGTCGCATAGGGCGATCGTTTTAGGAAATGTTTATAGAATTATAAACATTATTGAATGTACCACATTAATTATTTAAAAAATGTCAAAATTTACGATAATAATGAAAACGGGTAATGTGTTATTGTATGGTATATGAAACAAAGAGCTGGCTGTGTGGGCGGCTCTTGCTGTAAATCTTCTTCATGTCGGATTCATTGAAATCAGAACGTTTATAGATGAGAACCATTCAACTGCTCATCGTCATCTCCTTAGAGATGCATTGTGGCTTAACCGCTGTCGAGACAAAAATAAAGCATTTCTTCTCTGCCAGTCAAAACCTTCAGAGAATCGAAAACAGTATGCTCACAAAAACTGAGGTTGTAAAGGAACTAGGAACTTGTACTTTTGAAATACGATCTCTTTAGACTGTGAATTTCCAAGGAGTCCCCGTTCATCGAAACGATTTTTCCGCTATGACTGAGAAAATGACGAAAGATCAGAGACCGATCAGAGATCAGGAAAAGGAAATCGAGGTGCAGGTACCGCTTCCACACTTCTGTCTACATCTCGATTTGTATAAGTTGAAAAATAACTCTGTTCATTTGATAGGAGAACGAGACGAAACCAAATGGTTACGACCCTAATTTGCCTAAACCGATTCTGAAAATGAGCTTTGAAAGAGGCATTGGACGAATTATTTTTCAGAGTGGGATAACTCGGTATCCACTGACTAGAAAAGATCTTTTTCCCTCTTTTGTTTTACATACTCCTAAAATGTCGACGTCGGGTGCGTTTAGGAGAAAAGCAATGACAACTGTAAAACATCTCGTAAGAGGATCTCGTAGAAGGAGACAGGTGATGAAGGATAGCAATCTGAACTCGACGTGGCATGACGGCGTTTTCTACACGTTCAATACATCAGGTTTGTTTTGAGAGAGCTTCCCCATCTAAAGTGTACGAACTGCCAAATTGCTCTCAACTGGCTAAGGATGACATTTATTCAAAGAGTTAAAAAACTGAGGAAGGAATTGTTGACGGCTCCAGCGGGCGCCACTAAGTCGTCTATTTGCTACTCTACGATGCAAAAGAGGCTTTTTTTCTCCTAGTATCATCGTAAGAAATCCAGATCGTCGGGTTGGTAGCTTTGCTAATCTGAATTTGACATCCCGAGATAATCCTCAGCTAGCGGTACTTCTTAATTGGTTGTTGTTAAGAAGCTTAACGTTATACGCTCACCTCACTTTAAACATATAGGAAAAAAACTCAACGTGTCTGCTCATTGACCGTCGAAGTAATTTGAGCATCTTGAATCCTCTTTCCAACATAGGTGACACGGCTATTCTCAGAAGTGAGCTCTATTCTCTTGAGAACCTGGTCAATCACATTGCTTCCTATTTCGTTTTTTCATTGGATCAAGGCAGAGAGAATCGATTAATTGAAAAGGAGAGCGCAGATCCCGTTGTTTCCTTCGTTCTCAATAGATACTCGACACTATTTCAAGTTTCTGAATCAGTCTATCACCCCTTGGTTAGTTGTGGAGCTGGTTATTTCGCTATGGTGACTTCCAGATTCAGAATTGCGTTGCTGGATCTTTTAGAGGTGTTCGACAGTGATACTGGATGTATTATTTATAGAAAAATATAGAGGGTTAAAAAACAAGAAATTATAGCAAGTTTTCATTGATGAAGACACGAAGCGAACTTCTCTAATATCACCTTCGTCGTGTAATGAGTGTTGTCTTCTCATATTGCTCAGTCCAATGAAGCCATGTGTAGTCTTCACAGCATGAATCACAAGTACTCTGAAGTACTATTCAAATCCTCGTGCGTTGTAGGCCCTGATCGCTACCTTAGCCATTCCAGGTAGAGAAAGTCTTAGGTGGCCTCGAAATTCTAGAACTGTCTCTGTACTCATTCGGTCCACTGCTGCCGTAGTGCGAATCTATCGGAGTTATAGGAATGAAGCCAATCATTTTATTGTTCTTAGTATATAGTAATCTTACGGAGCTCTGGAGTGAGGCTGAGCACACTTAAATTTTGCGGAGCTCTAGCGTAAGGTAAGATATACTCATGGATAGCTTGGAATTTTTCATATTATATGAAAATCCTAATTATTGCAGCTGATTTCTAACCACCTACTAAGCACTGCCCAATTATTTGATTGTGAGCTCGTGGATGGATTGATTGAAAGACATAATAATAAACAAATAAACAAGAAGACCCACCTACGCATGCAAGGACATGTCTATGTACACACTACATATCACAGAGAAACAGAAATAGGAAGCCTTCTGGTAGAAGTCCCTTCCAACGCATTTCAGGCTAACAAGTAGGTCGCGTTTGGCTCACGCTTTCCGAGTATCTCTCATCCGCCCCACCTACGTTCATGATTAATGACACGAAGGCTACGGCGACTCGGCTCTTTTTTTTTCCAAAAAATGCCTTTTCATTTAAATTAGGACGTTCGATAGAGCCAATCTGGGACGAAGGTTCTATCTAGAAACGAAGTACCTGCATGGTGTGGTGGTGAACGTGTTGGCCCCCGGAAAGGCAATAGCACGATCGCTCCCAACCGCAGACACCTGCGGTCTGAAGTTTTGCAAATATCTCAGC